TCAATTATTATTCATGATAGTAGATGAATCGAATCACGTCTGTACATTTATAGTACGCACGTACTTTATAGTTACGGCGCCTTCGATAGAGAACAAATACGATTATCGCTCTGGTTGTTGCCAGTTGTTAATCAGTTCGTGATTTATCGGGAAGAAATTTCGATTGATTACCTCCGTGGTATAATTTTAATTACGCAGACACACAGCCCTTCCCCAGTTTTACTGTCTTTTGTTTCCTGACAAATCAGTAATACGTACCAGCGGCTACGACGCGCGTTGTTTCGATTATTTTTTAATTAACAAACCGTTTTGTGCGTGATCGCACGCGCGAGCAAATTTAAGAGCCGCGCTGATTAATTGCTTGACGTGTTCAAGGTGAAAATAATTGTGGCAACCCAGGAACGAATTGTTTCCGTTTGTTTCATGCGTCGCATATATGTTCTGTTATACCGAGGAAACGAAATGTTTCTTGAATGCGAAATGTCATTAAATTAATCATAAATGCCCCTTTCTCTAAATCCAATCTTCAGTTAAGAGTTTCTCAAGTGAAACATGAAAGTTCATAATCAAGATAGATTCTAATAGACTTTTGCGTCAATCAATCTAAGTATTCTGAAGTTCCCCTCATATAAGAATTGTGACAAATACGCGTGAAACGTCCCGGTCACAGATTATACTGTTCCGATTACTCACGGCGTTATTTCCTCGCGGGGGAATCCAAGTTGCCCGATAACTTTCGAACTCGTTCACCAGATAATCTGTCACCGCGCCGGTAGCGCGAACGTAACACCGGCACCGGTTTCCTGCGTTATCGGATTATTGCGTTCGCGGGCTTACCGTAACATAAAAGTTCATACCGGTAATCCTTGGCATACTTAGGGGCCGGACTCTACGTGCGCTAGCCTCTTAATCTCAGTCGAAAAACCCGCTTGGAACAATACGCAGATGTGGATATATATGCGCGGCACGTTTCCCGCGTGTATATTGTGCGCGCTCGGCTGTGTGCGCGTACGTAAAACGTTGCGGTTCTAAAACCCTCCCGCGCGCGCGCGCGTGCCTCCTTCTACTGGTATCCACATTCTTATTCCGAGTGCTTCTCCCACGTTCCTGCTTCCTGCGCCAGAAAAATTGGCTAACCTGTTTACTGATGCAACAAAGGAAAGGAAAACCGAGCGAGAGCGTCCTCGGCGAAGGGTTCAAATAAAAGACTGCAGAATTCATTTTAGCATCACCCATACTTAAACGACAGATCGATATTGATTACAGCTGACTAATGTTCACGCCAGAAGACCTTAGGACAAGAAATGGATTCATGCATATTCGATCTGTATCTTAAAGTAGTGATGGAATGGAGGAATAAGTGAAAGAATTGCAAAGTGGATTGCATTGGATACGCATGGCAGAAGAGATAGCACAAACACGAGCGAGAGCGGAGTAGACGCAAATAAAATTATATCGAGCGGAGGGGTAAAGACAAATAAGAGATGGGATCCGTAAATACGACTAAAAGGAAAGTCAACAGGGGCTGCTGGCTAGGACCGCACGGACGTGCAAACGAAGGCGTAACCGGATCGAGCGGAAGCAGCGAAAGGAGCAGCAAACGGGACTGACCGGCGGACAGGGGATAAAAAGAAATTGATAAAAGGAGGACGGGACAAGACGATAAGAAGGAAGAATACGATCAATAGCGCTGCGAAGAAACTAAACCGAATTCAAGAGAGTTGAGAACTGGAAAAGAAGAAACAGCAACTCGATCTTAAGGCTGGGTGAAAGGGAAGTAGAATGGGGTGCGCGAAGGCTTTTCTCCACGGAAATGCGTACACCGAAATACATGTTAGAGAGTATATAGTGTCTATTTAATTCTCTTTTGGCTGGTTCTTTCTCAGATATCACCGCATTATAAAACGTTGTCATTTTTAATTTCGTCATTTTACTGATTTTTAATACGTCGACATATTTGAATGATTCCAATGGAGATAGAAATTGACGTGATTGCCATGAGAAAGTGAAGTTTGTCTTTCGAAATGGAATCAGGAGTGGTTAAACGTCGAGGAAACGAGCCGGGAAGAACGATGCAATGCACCTTTATTTACTGAGCGCGTGTTTCATTCTGCGGAACCTTTAAAGGGCACGCGCGAAAGGAGGAGTGACACACATAGGGTCTGACGGTGTGTGCGCCGCGTGCCCCTGACGTTTCCTTCCTGCTAAACTGTACACATGCTCAAACCCTGCACCCCGAAGCGCGCGCTCGTGCGTGTGCGTACTTCTTACGTCGTACACGCGCGTGTATAAGCATGCCACGTTTTATTCAATGCCGCCGATGGCGAACGGGGATGGAGCTTAAAAAGACGCATGACAGGCTTTTGATATATAAATACGCGGTGCGTGGAAAATATCCGCTCGTTGTTGGGGTCCTATTAGCTTCGGGTTTAGTAGGGTTACAGTTATTAGATGAATTACAGTGATTAGGTGAATACACGCATATGGATATTTATCCATAATACGTTATCTAACAAAGATTTCTCTTTGTTGAGTGGTTAGAAATGCGTCACCATTAACATAAAAAAATGACATGCTCTTGGAAACTGAGTCATATCGCTTTCCTTTTTATTCATTTAAGTAACACGCAGTATCGATATATTCACTGAACGTTTACGTAATCTTTACTCTACCGGTGGACTGGTTAGTTAATATATTATCTAACGTGTTGTCCCGATTCCCGTGAATGTCCACCTCCTTACATATTGAACGTATCAGAGGACATCTCGACAGTTTCTAGATTAATCGCAATCTTAACAAATACATATAACCGACCGGTCTGTATTACACGTGGCTCACAGACGTACTCAACTCTGTATAGGAATATCCGCGTTCAAAGAAGCTTGGTACTCATGCAGAAACGATAAATCGCATTGCAGTACTTAAAAAATCGATTAATCGAAGGTGGATCGTAGACAAGAAACAAGATTTGTAGCATTGAGATTCAATCGAGTACCTATCACAGTTTCGATCTTGTAACCGATCCGCGGCAAAATTGCGATTCATGAGTCTTGACGGAACGATGTAACAGTCACTTCCGTCGCTATTCGACCCACGAAACCTTTTCTCCTTCACTAAGAAAAGAAAGAATTAATTCCTCCCCTCAGAACAGCCGACACGGTCTTTGCAATTGTGATTACGTCTATGTTACCTCATCGCGGAAGTCGCGATACGAATCTGCCTTACGATTTGTCGCGATCGTCTTCAGATAGTGGGCTTCCTGCACGTTCACGTGCTGACGCTGAAGTAAATCAAGGTCGCTCGATTTTAACGCGATTAACTCATTCTCCCGCCCTCCGTGTTATTCTCGCTGTTTTTGAGGCAATTACAGCAACGGTCGTTGACAATGGTCATAAAATATGCAATACACTAATCTTCTATTTTATAGTCAACAAGAAAATCTCTTAGTATTGATTTTAAAAATCGAGACGAAATCAAATATTTACTGGTAATATCGAAAGTGATCCAGTGCATCGTTAATAGCAAGTAATTTAAGATACGAATCGGATCTAATTCATGGTATAGTTAACGCTATGCGAAGCTCGTTTATAACGCGCAATAAGATTCATAAATTTTAATAACGGCTAGATTACCGCGTGGGCTAAACTGCCAATTAAAAGTCTCGATTTACAGCAAATTGCATTCACGTCACTATAACTCTTGCTATTCCATTTCTAATTCGTTCATCTGAACCTGTATAGAGTATGAGGATTTAAAAACGCGTTGTCTGTAAGTAGAAAACAATTGCCGAGACCTCCTTCAGACAAAAAGTAGCTATGTCCGTGCCAGGCAATAAAGTTAAGGATGCAAAACATTGTGCCGCAGTTCTCCATCCTCGAATCTCTATTTCCCCCGATAAATCTCAACAACGCAGAAACTAGGCTCTAAGTATAGCTAACCAGCTCCAAAAAGGAACAAGCTCTCGTGGCGCACTATCTATAACATCCATCCGTGTGCACATGTCTGCGTATAACTCGTGCATGCTCGCGTAGCGTATAGTTCAATTCGGGGACGCGATCCAAATGGGGCGACCCTCTTTTTTCACCCCGGGGTCATTCAATTCCGAATCCCGCGAGAGGAGCCGCTCTCGCGATAACTTCCCTTATCAGCGTGGCCCAGAGAAAAGGCGAGACGCACGCGGGAGTGTGTCGGCTACGAGTGGAAAAACGGCAGACAGTGGTATGAGTACGGTACGGCACAGACACGGTCGGAGCAGCCGCGACACGTCGAGGTCTCGCGTCCTTGCCAAGCCGTACCCCTCTCGTTGCACGTAACGCCCGGAGTGGGATCCTCCACCCCCCACTCGCGGCACGTCACGACGACGTCGGTGGCTCCCCCTACTCCCCACCCCTTAACGGTATGTAAGAGGCTGCACATGTTTCCCCGCGCTCCAGTCTCGCAGCGGCAATCGCGAGTGACTGTTCGTGCGGATTTGCCCAACAGCAATTCCTGTCCGACTTTTCATAAAACAAAAAAAAAACGAAAAAAAATATATATATATATACGGAACCGAAGGGCAGTACAGGGACACGCGTGCTGTATATATAATATCCGTCTGCACACAGATACGTGAGATACGTGTGGAGCAACGCGCGGGCGCAAAAGGGTTTCTTCCCTCGTAGTGTGATACCGATTCCGTTCGAGGACCGACCGTCACGACAGATCACGAACGTCGTTGCAGCGAGCAACAACTACGAATATTGTACAATAAAACATAGAGGGGAAAGGAGATCGGCTCCTTTCTTCCGGATCTCTATTCACGTCTTTCTTTTTTTTACTTTTATACTACTCTACGTAATCGTTTTTCGTAAACGCTTAAAGACTACTTGATCGTTTCTTCTCTGACGCGGTGTGATTCGGAATTGATTTGCGCGAGTGACAGCTTGTTCTATTCTGGAGCTTGGAAGATTGTGATCCTAGGAATACCTAAAGGAATTTTTGTGGCGCTTACGACGTTATAGGAGAACCGGGGAGAAGTGTGGATAACGGTCCGAGGGTGCTACGGAAGTGATCTTCCCCTGACATCGGTCGATGCTTTTCGTGCTCCGGAGACGAGAATAGTGTTCGCTGGCAAGAGACACGTGAGTATCGAACTCCTCCTCGGCTATTCGAGATCCCTCTAGACGTTCTCCAACGCCTTGCACTCGCATCGCGGAACTCTGACTAGCGCAAGTCGTTGCTTCCTTCTCCCTCTTTGGTCATTGTTCCCGCGTGCGAATGCTGATCGCGTCACGCAGTTCGATAATTTTATGCGAAGAACGGGTCGAATTCTGTAACGCATCACGCGATCAGAGTACGTCTGAGCTCACCAAGGAATGATCCCATCTGACTTGTTAATTTTTTAATCGCGCAACTCGATGTATCCTAATAGACGTAGTCGCGCTTGCAACGACGAGTTTCATTCTGAAAGTGATGAAACTATATCAAACAATACTTAGATTTTAAAGCATCTGTTACGCCAAAAATATAATTTGCTTCATGAGATGACTATTCGAAATTCTTTTATTCCACTGACTCATTATAATGTCAACGCAAAATTCTTGCAATGTCCCGTATTATAAGTAGCGAGTCGTAAGATCATTTCAAAAGTATGCAGTAGATACTATATGTCAATGACACGTTAGCGCAGCATCGTGTATAAATACATGTACACGAAAGAATTGTCTCGAAGGTGAGCTTTCGCGCACCTACGACAACCGTAGTTCGTATTTGTGGTAGCATCGCGAAGGTCGACTCATTCGTTGGAATGCAGTCGGTCGTTGAAAAGGTAAATGAATGCCGTCTGATTCGATCGATCGATCTAGAAATCGCTTTTGCTGGCTGGCAGCCAGTACTCGATCGCTCGGTCGGCGCGGGGCGTTTCGATTTTCTTCAAGGTCGACGCGATCCAGAGCGATTGCAATGACTCACGGGCGTTACATCGAATAAACGTGTCTATTACTACAAATTACGTTAAGGTCACTACGCTGTCTGGAATCGAGTTTTCCTATCGCGGAAACGGCCACGGCTGCCGCTCAAAACGCCACGTGACGCGCATACGGAGCGGGTTCGACGAATTAACGATATCAGCCACGTTAATGGAGTTAGAAAGCGACGTAGTCAGGTTTTACGCATTTATTTACGTCAAGCTGCCCGCGGCTGACTTACAAAAATAGTTGCGACAATAATAGCAAGGTCAAAAGACACTACTATAGTAGCCGAGATGGCGTGATGTGCCTGCGACTCGCGTTTCACGGATTAATTAATTGGAATTGGCTCACGGATAGATTTTAATGGGACGCGAAACGGTGACTGAGGATTTCGCTCTCGTACACGAGATTATTTTAATTATCGGCACTGACGGCAGTTTAATAATCTGTCAGAACGTTCAGAAAGAATTTGCACTCCCTGTGATTGAATTTTAAAACGATATTCACGAGTCGTATTGTAGTTGTAGAAATGATAAAAATATTTCTTAGTGATGTAATAACAGAAAAGTTGTGGCATGAAAATAGATGGATTGATACTAAAAATTAGATCAGTAGACCGCGGATTTTACGCATTTACAGAAATATTGTGTCTGTCTAAAACATGAAAACGAACATATAAGACATCGAAAGTGAAATGCATATTATTTTTAAAGGATAAACGGAATTGTTCGTTAGGTTGCATTTTCTTAATTAATTTTGCAATTATTCCGTTTTGCATAAAAGTCTGCATTCTACAAATCAGCTGTCGCATAAAAGCGAAACGGTGCAAATAGCCGTCGGGGTAAACAATTTTAATCGTCGAGAAGGTGGTAAAATCGTTTCGAAACGATCGCGGACCGAATTTTTCCGCGATTCGAGTCACGTGAATCACAGGGGAAACCGGATTCGATGGTTGTATCGATAGCTGAGCGATGAGCGGAGAGACAGGGAGAACGGAGATAGGAGAGAAATGGAGAGAAAGATAGAGTGCGATGGTTTCTCTCATCTCCATCCCTCCTCTTGGTTGTTTCTCTCTCTGGTGGCACCAGGCAAACGAATTATCCAACTAGTGCCGTCCATCGAAATCAGATTATCGTCGATTCCTCTGCGCATCCAACCATCCCTGGGTGAGCCTGGAACCCCCGTGTATGTATATCGATTTTCGGCTGTGCCCTCACTCTTTCTCTCCGCGTCCATAGGCACCGGGAACTTATTTCCCGCGCATCGTAAACATTCGAGCCCTAAGCATTCGTCATGTGGATTAATCACGGTTTAATTGGAAAATCTCGCTGTGCAAATAATGGCCGGCGCGAACACAGTCGCGGCTGGTCACCGAAACCCTCTCCCTTTCCCGCTTTTGTGGACCGTGCAAGTAGAAAGCTATTGAATAGTTTCACCAACTCTTTGCAGAATTCAATGCCAGCAACCGTGACACTTCGGCATCGAATCCTCATTATTATTACTCAAAGCGTTCAGACTCGTTTCTCAAAGCCTCGTGATTTACGAGTTACGTCGCTATTACTACAAACGAGCGATATTAATTCCGGAGTTGGTCCCAGCGATAAATTCCGTCCTCGACGTTTCCCCGTGCCACTAGGAGACAAGATTAAACGTAGTCACGGAGAAAAAGGAGATTAGGAGTGGGCACGGGTAGCGTAGTCGTAGACGACGACGGCGGGTTTACTCGGATATAAAATCAATCGTGGTCCGTGCCTCCTCGTAATTAGTGTCCTCCGCTAATTATCGCGCGTACTCTACCCACCGAGAAAGTGATTATTACTCGAGATCACCCGTGCAGATTGATCGTGTTAACTGTGATCACAACGCGGTTCTCATAATCTATATTATTACTGACATTTTGCATAATTTTATGAAGTAGCAACGTTGGCTTTTTTCAAAGAACTTTACGATTTTTTCTTAACAATGCTAAATAATCTATACAGATGGGAAAACGCGAATTCTAATGGAGAAAAGAGAGAAAGAGAGAGGCGCAGGTTCGCTGACGTTACAATTCATTCACCCCTGGTAATCAAAATAAATTTCCCTGTCACATTCGGCGTTTACTGGGCCATCAAACAACGCGTGTACGTAGTCACGTTTTACGAGGGAGCCTCGACGAAAGTCGAATTTTCATCGCTTCCACTCGTGCGGCACGGTTATCTTGCACCCCTCTTCTATCGTGTATTTTTTTTTATTCGTCGAAACGGGGTGAAAAACAGCGCGTTTATCGAACCTTAAAAGGGTCTCGAACATTCGCCTCCTTTTAGTGCCTTTGCCTAAGCGAGATAAGCGCGCCATTGGCCTTGTAAATCAGCCTGCGCTTTTACGTAGAGTTGACTTGTATTTACACGGTCCGGTGCGATTTCTCACGGTTTTTGTCCGATGCAAAAAATCTCCCCGGTTTTCCTCGTAGGGTAGAAACTGATTTCCTCTGCAGACGAAGCAGTCGAGAGGCTAGACGAACGCTTAATAATTAATTAAATTGCATGAGAAACGTGAAAAATGAAAAATTTATAAAAGGGAAAGTATTCTGTCTTGAAAATCGTGAATCATTCTAATAGCCATTAAATTATTATTAGCATGAAAAATCGATATCGTAAGAAATTCATCAGAAAAATTGTCGTAGTTTTATTGGTAGGGCTGTAGAAACTTTTATTACTAGGATTATGTAAGGAGTTTAAGATTTGCTTTACGATCAATTCCAAGAAAATTGTAAAAGAGAAGGAGTCGTTACACGGCGAATTTATCGGTGTTTATTACAAAATTAACAGAGAAAGGCGGTGACATTTAGCAACAATATACTGTTTTTAGTATTCGGCGTCCGTGACCACCGTTTGACATATCGCTTTTCTCCACGAGTCTACTTCCTCACCATCAAAGGTTTCAATTCTTAAGTAAGTATCGGCCGTGGCTCGTTATGACCTTTGCCCGAGGCTGACATTTTCTCAGACAGCGATTTAATTTTGCTACCTTGTTAGTTACCGTTTAATCTCCCGCCGATGGGAAGCGCTCGATCATTATCAGGCACGCAATTTCCCCTCGCACGAACCTGTATCCGAAAATACGCTAAAACTACACAGCGAGTCATGTTTATACATTGCCTTTTTATCGACTCGTCCAGCGACTATTTTCCCCGTTACTAGACACGAACTTTCAATGTTAAACCCCGCGAGTATAAATCTTGGTGAAAGATGTAAAGAAGAATTCGATAAATTCCGTTGAGATCGAATCAGAAAGCCCATATCTATTTTTAGTGACGGATAAAAATATATCGAAGAAATGCTCGATTTCAAAGGAACGTACGAAACCGAATACTCTTTGTAGTCGGAAAACAACGTGGAACGAGGTAAAGCTTCTTGTTTTGTACAGAAGAACCATTGCAACCTCGTTGCATTAGGATCAGCGGTGGTCGTGACGCAAGCGAGGTTTATTGATTCGCAGAATCCAATATAACGAAGCCAAGCGCTGGGGAAGGGGGGGGGAGAGGGTGAGGTATCCATCGCGGATTTTATAGGCCGCCTCTCGGCATTGTTGGCAAAAATTGTCTCGACTCTCTTTCGACGATCGATTTCGAGTGTCCCCGCGATTCGCCGGCTACCGTACGTACAATTCCCTCGACCTATTTCACTCGAGCTTGCACGGTTACCAGATACACAATTTTTACTACAAAGTAACGTAACAGTCCATCTCGTTATTTTATACAACTGCGAGAATACTTTGTCCCACGAGTTAGTACTGAGACTTTATCAACCTGCAATCCTGTCTGACCAGTGACGGTCCTTCTCTACTTAAAACCAGCGTAGTCGTCTTTATAGTGCTATTCTTTCTGTTAGTTCGATTTAGTCATTATTTTATCTTTTGTTCTAATTTGCGCTGCTATTGCTGCGTGTTACACTGTCAATTTCATCAGCTGCGTTTCTTTGATGTTATGATAAAAACAGGAGAACACTAACGATGATTGTTGATTACTTCCTCACGTATTTACTACTTAAGAGACAATACAATAGTTTTATCACTATATCAGTTATCATCTATTGCCCAAGCATAGAATGTACTTCGTAATGGTCTTATCATAATCCATTACGAATCAAACCTAAACGGGAGCTCATGAAATTACATGAAGGGTGTCTGAC